TTATTAACCTTTAAATTTTAACAGAAAATAACTTCAACACATAATTCCATTTCAATATTTAATAATGATATTTTGTTTTTATGTAGTTTAAGGTAGAATAAGTGTTATGTCTCAAATTTGAAGATGATTTTTGGAAACATGGTAGTTTTAAAATCATCGAAATATAAACTACTAGCCATTAAAACTGCTACACCAGGAAAGTTATACGGAACTTTTGGTAAAATTGCATGACATTTATTTGTAGACATATTGCATGTAGATGTTTGAAGGATATGCAAACGAATTTATTTTCTGCACGTTCATGCAAAGCAGGTGGTGATCAGAATAAAAACTGAGATTTGTAGAAATTTCATCATACTCAATTTAAATTTGAACGCTATTTTTCATTAAAAAAAGCTGCTGTAATGCCTCGTGATAGGAAGAGAATGGCCTTCAAGAATATGTCTGATATTTTCTGAGGATAGATTATAGCTTAGTGGGCGTGCACCTTATAGTACCTCAATATAACTGCTCAAGTCGATCGAGATCCCTTAACTGCCCTTAATGCCTCCAAAACATTGAATCTAAGAGTTCAAAAAGGACATATGGAACATCGTTTTAGATTTCATCGGTTACCCACTACCAACAGACAAGAATCAAACCTCTTATGCACATTGCCACAGGAGGTCACATATCGAACCATGAGTCGAGATATTGAGTCGTTTGCAAGAAAACATGTTTCTTTCCGAACAATTCTATGCCATTTGCAGCAATATGGACAACCAATGAAGCAATGACATCCTTTACACGTGACTCCACGTCACAGATATTAGTGCACTTTCAATGGTGTGGTTAACGAATAAACTGCACACACAACTGGCGGTAAATCATCTTTGCACATGAATACCGATTTTATATACAATATCATGTGGGCTACAAATGTGCTTGTGAGATATAGTAAAAAAAGTTCGTAATTAGCGTGAATTCGACATTATTGTACAGACACATCAGCTGCAATGATGGTGAATTGATAAATCGACCACCTCTTATTTCCATTCCTGGCACTTTGCAAACAAACCGTTACATTTTAAGCGTATTAAGGTCATTGCTCAGCCCTTTCTTCAACCCCCCCCCCTCTCTCTCTATTTTTTAGCAGGGAAATCCAGGACTGCATATTGAATGTATTTGTATCGTTTTGAAGAAATCTAACTCCAATTTTCGCCACCAGGAGGGGCTGTAGAGGTTTTCCTTGCGTAATTAACAACAATTTTACTAAATATAGACCCTACTTTTATGACTGCAGCTATTTGCCCTTCAGAAACTGTTGGAGTGACAATGAACTTTAATGACCACAGTGTATTTGTTTAACAAATTTTCTTATACAACTCCATTATACAACTTTTTTTAAAGCCTTTGAAAAGTACAGTAATATGATTCTTTCGTGTTAAATTTGTTACTTAAGATTGAAACCACTGTTTGTAAAGGTATATCATTCTACAAAATAATTTGAATTTCAAAAATAACTAACGTCAAGGTGTTAAATGTTTAATCAATACATATTTCTTCTATTTAAAGCTGAATAGCCTTAAGAAATCATGTTTTTGTTTATGCCTTATGTCGATAAATTGAAACTATGCGAAACAAAAGTTCTTATCAAAATAGGCAAAAAAAAAAGCATTACAATTTACAACATATTATCCCTTTTTATAACTTAAAATTTATAACATATAATTTATAACATATATATGCATAGTTGTTTACTGTTTAGGTTGAATATGATTAAACATTATTCCCAGACTTTTCTAGCAGTGTTTAAATTATGTTTACAATTTAGTATGAATCTCATTAATATAGATATGCGTAGAATTTTCTATGTTTAAATCGACGAGGAATGCTGAATATGCTACTATCATTTGGTCAATAATCCTCAATAGAGAAGACCTTCAAGTTAATCCTTATCTAAAGGACTTTTAAAGGAATAACTGCTTACCTCTAAGGACCGATATAATCATTTCCTTAATCACACATCTTTAAATCTCTTTAAATTCTCCATCCAGCTGAGTTCTAAATGTCACAAAGAAGATTTAAAATAAACTAGAAATTACCAGCACATTAAAGTGTGCAATATTACGAAAATAATTTCAAAAAATATTCAGACCAATGTTATGCTTGGGTGGTTATTTTGATTGTATATTTGTTAAATGCTTTTTTTTTAAAAAAAAGTTCATAAATAGGTGGAAATATATATTTATTCCCAAGGATAAATATTTTTGATAGCTTCATTTTATTCTCATTATAAAATACATAAAAAAGATCAGAGTATATGACGTAAAATGCATAAATTATCCACAAATGAGGACTATTTTTAATATTATAAATCATTAACAATATACAATAAATGATCACTGTTATAATATAATAACAAATGCATTTTACTACTAATAACATCAATGGGTAAGCAACTAATAATGGGTAGGTATTTTGATTGTATATTTGATAAATGTTTTTTTTCTTTTGAAAGAGTTCATAAATGGGTGAAAAAATATTTTTATTCTCATGAATATAAAATGTGGATAAGTTTCATTTTATTTTCATTATAAACTATATAAAATTTCAAATAGTCAGTTCAAAATTTTGGCTATCTCAAAAGCTCAAAGTATACGACAAAAATGCGTAAATTATCTAAATTTATGACTAATTTTAATATTATACATCATGAACAATATACAATAAATAATCTTTGCTATAATATATTAACCAAAATATTTTACTTCTAATTACATAGTAACCAATAATAATTAATTTCTTATAATAAAATTAACAAATTAATAATTACTAATAGAATGAAAATAATAAAAACTGTATTAAAAATAGTAAATTTTTGCTTTGCATTTCAGCAAATGAAATCTTCCGATGGAAGAAACTTTTGCAGACAATCTTAGCCTGCAACAGGCAGTGGAGCTACAGACAAAGAAGAACACCGTCCTAGTGCTAAAAAAAGATGCTTTTAAATTATTCTTGAAATAATAAATTGAAAATAATAATTGAAAATAATTATTTAAAAAGTAATTGATATTAATTATAACAAGCATTTTATATGAGGGAGTTTTTTTTTCCCTTGAAAAAAATAAATTTATTACATTTTTCGTTGTGCTGTGTTATATGAAAAGCATTAAAAAAATTTAAAATCTTCGAACTATTAATTTTATTTTACTTTGAGAATTGATTTTTTAATTTTTGATTTCGAGTTGAAAAATGTTTGCTTTAAAATATTTAAAATTACTTAAAATAAAATGATTAGTATATAAATTTGATTTAATGATTTAATATTGGATTTTAAAAGAACGAGAATTCAAATAGTGTATTTCCATATATTATTTAATATATATATATATATTTAAATTATTGTTGTATTATTTTATGTATATATTATATTAAAAAAATATTATGCAGTAAAAACAGAGAAAACATATAAAATAATATATGTAAAATATGCATAATGCGATCTTTATGTAATTAAAACAATATAAACAGTTTTTGAAATTTCTATATTGTTTTAAAGTTTGGAAAAGATTATGAAATATAATCATAAAGAAATAAAGCGTGCAAATTATTCTTTTCCCTAAAAGTTAAATGCAGGAGACAAAATGGTACAAAGTCATGAGCAGAACTGTAAAACGATCAGAAGAGCTGTTTTTCTCTTGCTCGAATTTCATTTCTAAATATTAAAAACTTTATGTATTTTTTTTTATCAATTTTTATATCATATTATTGGTTATTAATATATTCTATATGTTAAAATATATTATTAGTAGATTATAATATTTTGTATTATTGATTAAGTATATTTATAACTCGCCTTTGTGCCTCTATAACTCCATTTTGAGAAAATTAATCCAATTCATAAAACTATTTAAATGGTCATACTGACCTTTACACTGACTAAAACTGACCTTTTAAAAACTACTTATGATATCACTTTGAAATTTTTTGGATATTTGAGATTATATCAGTTGTATAATGTTTTAGCGTTAACAGAAATACTTTTTAGAGTTATGAAAACTTTTTGCTCAAAAATGATGAAACTTTTTAAAAAAAGTAAAAGTTCTCAGATCATAAAATTTAAAAAAAAACTTCTGCTAAAGTTATGTATTAACAGTTATCAGAGTGTAAATATGTATAGGTAAATATTTTGTGGAAAAAAAAACCGAAGCAATTATCTTGTTTTGATGCTGAGAAAAGGTAAATTGAAAAAAGGTCAGTTTTACCATTATTGGTATATGCCCTACCAAAAAAAAAAAAATTTAAAAAAAACAGTCTACAATTTTTTTTAATGGTCTGTTCCTACTTTATTATTAGAATAATAATAAAAAATTTATAATAATAATAAAAATAATAAATAATTATAAAAAATTAAAAAATCGTTCCGGACCCTCTTAATTTAATGAAATAATGGGTGAAAATATTTTATAAATGGGGATTGATTGAATGATTAATTTATTACCTATAGTAATTATTTAATTTGTTACTAACTATACTACTAGTAACTAACTAAGTAACTAACTATACTTATAATTACTACTAGTAATTATTTAATTTATTACCTATAAATTCATCAATTAAATATAGTATAACTTTGTTTTTATTTTTATTTAAAAAAAAATTTGAACTCAATATTCCGCATCCTCAGTTACTTTTCGTCTCACAATCGTTCAGATCAAATCTTTTCACTCAGCGGTCAGAGGTACGAACAGATGAAACAAAATATAAATTAAATAACCGCACGGAAAAAATAAGGGAAAAAAATGAAAATAAAAATAATAAATAAATAAATGACCGGCTACTGAGCAATCGATATGGGATAGACAAAGACAGACCAACGAGATCCACCCGTCCCGCCTCTTCGGTCAACTTCGCTTGATGTGCAGCGCCTCCTGGTGGACAGGAAAATGCCGGCACCTGTTGAGCAAGGTGTTGCTGAACGATAGACATAGAGTTTGAGAACAAGAAGGGAGGGGTGGAGGTAACTAAAAAAATAATAAATAAAAAATAGAATGAAGAGAAACAGTTTGGGATGTGCCCCTGAGAGTACTTCTCCTAGTCTTCAGATAGAACTTTAATGAAGGATTGAAGAACACGTGTTTTGTTCTTCTCTTGGTCGGTCTTATGTAACTAAATCGAATTTATCGAACACTATATGGTAATTTGATTTAATAAGTGTCGAATATTAAATAGTTATTAACTAATATATTATAAATATAATAAATCATTTATATTCCAGAAATATTTTTTGGAATAAAGTCAATTCCATTTGTGAATAGTTTTTGACTGTGGATTATTATTATCGTTTTACCATGAAATAATTTTTTTTATAACAGACACATATTTTTATAATACTGGGAACTGTAATAAGACATTATTTTTTCATATAAATAATCATTGATGATGTGATTTTTGAATGGACTTACTTCAATATGGTGCCTTATTAATCTCTATCAGTATATTTTCCATCAAAATGATATTTTTCTGAGGACTTCCATATACAATTAGTAAACTTATGTTTGGGAAGAAAAAACTCTTTTGAATAGAATCTAGTCTTACAATTGGTGACTAAGTCAAGGAAATAAAGGAGATAATCATGGAAACATGTGTTTTGATACCAACAGAACTGTCTCTGGTGCTAACTACTTCACCATCATCCAAAAAATCATATACTGGAGCATCTGTTTGGAGCAATCAGCGCATCCCAAGAGGCTCAAGATTTCTTCCTTTCCAGGGTACAGTTAGACTTGACAAGCTAGACATCTATTCAAACCTCGAAGATAATGACGTAAGTAATATTTATGCTTTTAATATCTTTAAAAATGGTGGGATTTTTTTTTTACATTATGTTTGTGTTTAATGCATCAGAATTTGTTTTTATTTTCGAAGTTTAATAAAAGCCTATTTAAATTGAATTTAAATATTATTTATGAAATAAAATTTTTTTAAATATATTTTAGGGTTTTGAAAAAAATTCATGCCATTTAAATTAATATTATTATGTCGTTGTAATTTACTTTGCGAAATTTCATTTTCACTACTGAAGCCATGAAACTGTTCGATTCATTAAATATATTACTTTTGAAAATTTACTTAAAATTATTGCAACCTGCGCAGAGGAATAGTGAGGGTATTTTAAAGAGATTTTTCCAGGGATTCTTTTTTATTTGAATGATTCCTTTTATTTAAATATTGTCGTGAATTTGCCAACTGAAATAGAGATATTGTCGCGAATTTTCAAACTGAGATGTTTGTTTTCAAACAAAAGTATTAATATAAGTTCCATATAATGGGAAAAAGTATCATTTATTAGATATATGAATTTTCCTTTTTGAATATTGTTTATTCAGAATAATACGATATTCTTTAATATGTGAAAATGAATGTTTTGGCATGCAAATAAACTATTTCAAAATAGTTCAAAGCAATTTACCGATTGTGATAAAAAAATAAAAATAACTTAAATAGAATTATGAAGAAAAAAAAAGAAAATTATAGTTGAGCTATTTCAAAGAAATCATTAAAAAAGAATAAATTGCTGTATTCCTGTTACTGCTGATAGACATAATTTTATTATTTGAGTATAAACTGACTCAAAAATTATTTGCATTTTTCTCTTTCAAACAAATTATAAAAGTAACTTATCCAATGATTTATAAGACAATAGTAAATTTAAAATTATGTCAGATTTCCTTATAATTCGCATCATTTTAAGTTTAAAAACTTATTTAATGATATAAAAGAAAATAAAAATATTGCTATTATTTATCTAAAAAAATTGTCGGTGAGTTTTGTTCATTTTGTTCAAAAAAATTTCTTTTCTTTAAATATTTTTCTTCAATCATTTTATTATACCACAAACTTTTAAACACAAAACTTTCGCCGGTTATTTTACGAAGAGTATTACAATATTTACAGACAAATCAAAAACTGTTTCACAAGTACGAAACTTTTAAGCACCCGATATAAGAAACACAATTAATCTATGAAAGTGTAATTTATAGGGAAATTATTAAGAAAAAATAATTGACTTTGCTTATTCTATCCTAATACTTTAATAAACTTTAATTGCTCACTACAAATCAATAAAACACTACAAATTTTTAAAAAAAACATAAAATTAAATAGAGTATAATTTTTATAGCAAAGAAAATGTTAATAGAATTTTCTTTCCATAAATGCGTATTTCGTACAAGATAAGTACAAACCTTATTTCATTGTTTCTAGAAATTTCTTCAAAAAATAATAATATAATTTTAACAATAAAAAAAGAATTTCAGCATGCCTTTCTATGCAGCTGATAATCTTTTATGAATAAAGTATGATACCATCATAGTACTTTTATTTATTTCCAAATGAAAACTATCTTAATTAATTTTAGTACTGTAAATTACAATGATATATAAGTATTCGAAGTATTAGTAGAGTATTTATGATATATAAATAGTGTAAAATGATAGTAAATAACAGTTATTAAAAAATTAATGTTAAATATAATTGGATAATATATTATAAATAATTATCTTTTTTAACGTCACGATAATCTTAGTTAAAAGTTTGTTCTTAAAATTTATCTTAAATAGCATATTTTTTATGAAGTACAACGATAGAGCAGAGATTATCAGTGTCAAAAGAGCTGTTGAATACGATAATATTGTGTACATTTTCGATGACTATAGAATAGTAAATACTACAGAGATCTATAAAGAAGAAATACGATTTTTCCCAATCATTATAGCAACAGTTATGGAATACAATGATTTCAAGAAAACTTTTAATAATGATATTATCGTATGCATGCTAGTTTTACTGAAAGTATTTTTCAATTATAACTAACTGTGTTACACAATATATAGACAATATACATATCATTACACAATATATAGGCAATATAGAATTTTAAGAAAATGCAAAAATATGACAGTATATAATAAAATATCAATATTTTACTACGCATCACCATTTTAAAATTATTAAATTGCATAACACTAGTTACAAGAATAATTAAAAACCCTGAGTTATTTTCTCTTCCTAAATTTTACTGCGTAGGTAATAAAAGACAAATTATTCAATAATAATAATGTATTCATGTGTCAACTAATTACTATTCTGTTTACTCAAGTCTTTTTGCTCATAATAAACAACGTTTTGATAGAATAAACGGATATCAAGCAGTTTTTCAAGCCCACTATCAGATAAGTTTATTATTATCAAGTGAAAATTTAAAAATTTTTATAGAAACAACTAACGCCACGCCTAAAATATTCCATGCTCGTGCCAGGAATAAAACCATAACGTTTAATCAGGAGAACCATTTCAATATTTCACAATTTATATTGACAGATTATATTATTTTGCTTCATTTTGACCTTACCTTTACAAGTGAAAACTATCTAACTTTTACCTATAACAAGATCATTTCACATTAAACTAGTTATAACTAGAACTCTTATTTAATTATCTAGCCTTGACAGTGCAGAATGGTATAAATAAAAACAATCAAAATCAGTATCTATGTTGATAACGCCTATTTATTAAAACAAACACTAGCTCTATTTGCCTAAAGTTATATAATCGTTTAATAGTTAAATAGATGTTGAGCCTGTGCTGATAGTTTTGTCATTATTTGAAGTGAATACATTTTTGTAATAAATAATTAATTTAAATGAAGAACTTGGAGTTTATTGATTGAGGATGTTAACGCTTTTGAAGAGTTTAAATTGTAAGAATTCAACTCAAAGAAAATATTTAAATTTATGTTTTTTTTTTTTCATTTACTGACGTTTTATTAGTCATTCTGGTGCGAAATATATAGCCGAACGGAATTACATTGTCGCAAGCAGATACTTGTGAAACCTGAACCAAATGATCGACAAAGATAACTAGAAATAAAAAATAAAATAACAGCAATAGATTTTGCTGATCTTGACCTAAAAGGCAACGTTGAATTTAATTTTAATAACAGAACTAAGCGTTAAATTTGTAATCTTGTTAATAACTGAAGCTGCTTAGAGTCGAAAAACAAATTTCAAATATGAAGCATTTAATTTTTCAATGTATTTTTACTAACTGTTAAGACATTCATGACTGTACTCCAGCTTTTTAAAGATTTATTTAAAATGAAATCTCTTGCATTTTCTAATTAGACTATAATTATGAATTTGTAATTAGCATCAGCTATATAAAATTATTTGCTTTTTTCTAATATGTAAGATATAATTCATGGTTTTATATCCAGGCATCAGCTTCCTAATCACACTAGTATTTAGTGTGATTAGGAAGTGCACAAACTAATATAATAACTAGTTCATATCAGACTAGTGATATATTTATATAAAACTAGTGTCGCGTTATTGAAGTTAGTTAATAAAATTAAAAATATTTAATAAAATTGTTATTTCAAAATGTTAAAAAAGTTACGAAAGTGTATTTCTATTTTCTTAAAAGTATGAAAAAATTATCTTTTTAATTTTCCGCAACTTTCGTTTACATTGTACTTCAATATTGCGAAGAACACTATTTAACGCAAACAATTTTATGAATATTTGTGGCAATCTCCTAATTTCTGTATATAAACTTTGGTCTTCAGAGTTGATGTTAGAATCTAACCTTGTTTTGATCTTAACAAGTTTTAGAAGCAGGCACCTTTTAAACTAGCATTTTAAACTCAGTACGTAGTTTGCGCAAAATTTGAAAAATACTTTTAATATAATTTTGTTAGAAAATATGGGTGCTGATTTTTATTTTGCGTATTAAGTAATAACAAATACCCTCATTTCTGCATTTCTTTTAAACAGAATGACTTTTTTTAAAAAAAAAAATATTAATTGGCTTTGTGTTTTAAGCTAAGATGCCACATTGGTTAAGGCTCCTAGTTGTCATTGTGTTAGATGACAGCTTAGTGCCTTAACCAACATGCCAACGCAGTTACAGCACTGTCTTAACAGTAGGCTTCAGATCGATGTATACCAGCTTATCTGGGGAATTAGGTTGGCTGGTGCGCAATGCTTATAATATTTCACTATCATGTCATTTATTTTAAATTAAGGAGTCTTAACCTCCAAATTTGCCTTTTTCTCATCTAGCGTACATTAAATATAGTTTGCAATTTTCTAATATTGCCCTCATTTAATATAATTTGCAGTTTTTAATATAGCGTAAATTTAATATAATTTGCATTTTTCTAATTTAGAGTACATTTAATATAGTTTTCATTTTTTAATTTTGGAAGATTTAATATTGTTTGCATTTTTCTAATCAGTCGTTCTTTTCAAATAGTTTTCATTTTTTAATCCAGCGTATATTTCGTATGGTTCGCATTTTTCTAATATAGCGTACATTTGCTATATAGTTTGCATTTTACTAATGCAGCTTACATTTAATATAGTTTACAGTGATTTTAGTAAAGTTTCCATCATAAAGGCTGATACATAGGTTCTGTTAGTTTTTCTTTACATGCAAATTTAATAATTGAAAGGCTCACTTTAACAAACTGCTTTATCCAAAATAAAAGCAGACTTATAGTTTCATTTTTTTTCCTTGTCATTCTTCCAAAACAAGTTTTCAACATTTTTGCGCTTTTCCAAATATATTATTACCATATACATAAAAATGTCATTTGATAACAAAATTTTTTAAGAAATTATTTAAACTATTATTCCTTTTGATGTTGCCGAGCTATAAAAATGAAATATTTTAAAATTCTTTTGAATTCCGAAAGGAAGAGTGACACGACCCCCTCAGATTTTTAACCCAGGTGGTCGTGATCTATGGTAAAAAAAAAAGTGA